AAGGACAGACAGTGATAAGGACACAACACAGCATGGGCAAAAGGCATAAAACAAAAATGATCTGAAAGCTATTTAGGTAGTATTAGAGTAATTGTGAAGATTTGCTATAATGAGAAGAGACGAAAAGACGGACAGAAGGATGGATGGATGAAAGGATATTAGAATGTTTCTTGTTTTTTCTTCACAGGCACTAATGTTTTCACAGTCATATAGGAGGAATCAAAATTCAAAAATATCTCCAGAGTCTAGAATTGCTACAAAGCTAAAACATTTAAAACTACATCTACCACTTCCTCCAAGTATATCAAACTTAACTCTTTATATATACACACACATATATATATATATATATATATATGTATATATTTATTATCACATATATATTTTGTATAGATAAATGATATTATGGCAATGAAAACAATGGGCAACAAAATATCTAAGTCAATTCACAGTATAACATGATACATTCCCAAAAACAGTATATAGAGATAATATTTCTTTTTGTCCTCAAAAAAAAAAAAAAAAGCTACATGGGAATTATAAATCCATTCTGTACATGCAGTCACAGAATACTGTGTTAGCGCCTTCTGTCTCAGTAAGGGTCAATGACAGATCAAGTGTACTCATGATATTAATAACACTATATTAATTCAATCATTCTACATCCATCTCCTTGCCCCCCCGCCGTGCTTCCATGCCGGGTGTGGTAGACTTTCCGCTGACACACTCGTATTCCCGGCATTGGAAGAAATGCTGACCGAGGGGATTAAGCGGCTGTGTGTGATTCGGTTTACACAACACGCAATTCAATACCTGAGCTTGTTATTTCTTGACTAATGCGATGACATGTGGGACTTTAAAAATTGGAAAAGCCCTAAATTTCATTGCAAATTATGACAAACCTTCCCCAGGTGGTCTTGTTTAAACAAGCCATGAAAGGGAGACAAACATAACTTATTTCCACATGAACAGGTGTATTAAATAAAGGGCAAATTAATCTGCTGATCTGTGACAACATGTACAATCCCTATATGCCCCCCCATAACCCCATAATAACTGTCAATTCTTGTGATGTGTAACTGCATCCAGAATGCTACAAAATCTACCAAATATCTACTTTTTGCTTTTTTGCTACAAAGCTACATTCAACTACAACATGGGCAAATAAGCGGTGCCTGACATCAAATAGGCATTCAGAAACTGAATCTCTGTATGACTGACATCAATTCTTTTGCCAAAATAAATGGTGTAGGATGCTTTTGGCTAAAAATCGATCAGTATTGTGTTTGTCCTTGACTCCTCATTATCATATGTTAATGTTTGCACTGACAAGAGTCAGCAACTTGTGCTTTATTACATGCAACTCTGCACTGGAAGTAGGCTTGACTTGAAAATGCACGATCAGTGACAATGATAGCCTCAGCTCTTCTAAACAATGCCCTTTACCATCCCAGAAACGCTGTAAGCTGTCTGTTCCAGTTCTAACATGTGATGATTAAGGAACAAAACAACAGGCATGATCCACTCATGGTCCACCATTTGTAATCATTAATGTACAGTTTTTAATATTATGTAGCCATCTAGTGCCAATCATAAATATTGCAACCCATCATCGTTTGATGAAAGACATGTATTGCTTGTATGCAAAGAAAGGGCCATCTTATTGGGCAGTGCCGTGGATCTAGTTGTGACAATTGGAAAATTCTGCTATCAAAACAAATAAATAACTTAATAAATTGTCTTCGCAGCTATAATCCCACTATTTAACATCAGACACAGCTGGTTTACCCTTTTGTTAAAATACAACCACAGTGAGAGCAATAAATAGCATAAAACAAAAGGAAACCTGAAGGGAAAATATTGTACAGGAAAAATTGCTACATTTTTGTTTGTGTTCTTATTGTTTTTCTTTTGAAGTATGTCTCTTTAGAACAAAACGTAATCTCTATTCATCTCTATTTGATGTCAAAGTGACACCATGGCATTGGAGTTTTGATAGGACAACAAAAGTTCTGATGAGTGAAATGGCTCCATGTAAGTTCTGATTAGCTTGGAATCAGAAATACAGAAAGAGGTACCTCCTAACCAACATTAGTCAGTAAGCCAACATTTATTTTACAGTTACAAACATTACCCATCATGCATCTAGTCAGCACAGTAACAGTGAGTTGTGTACAGTACAGCCCAGACTCTCACTACAGTGTCACGGTCATCAGGTACAACTCTTCAGTCACATTTTCAGTCGTTTATCAATTACATCATAACTTTAATTGATCATTATCTTCAATAATCAACTAATAGGAGCAGGAACACAGTAGCTACTGGTCTCTGTTTTTTTCTGGTTTTGTTTTTTGCTAACTGAGAGAACATACAGAGGGATAAACAGAGAGATTAAAAAGTATCTAAAAAAGGAAAATGCCAGAGGTACATTGTTTAAGTTGCCTAATCAATGGTTCTGTGGATAAAAGATCACGAGAAAACTACAGAATAAGAAGAAATCAGCAGTTAGACTGATGGACTGGTGGGTGATTGAATGGATGGATGGAATACTAACTGGCTAGATGGAAAGCTGGAATGGCAGAATGTCAAAAGGACAGACAGTGATAAGGACACAACACAGCATGGGCAAAAGGCATAAAACAAAAATGATCTGAAAGCTATTTAGGTAGTATCAGAGTAATTGTGAAGATTTGCTATAAATAATGAAAAGATGGATAGAAGGATGGATGGATGAAAGGATATTAGACTTGTTTCTCGTTTTTTCTTCACAGGCACTAATGTTTTCACAGTCATATAGGAGGAATCAAAATTCAAAAATGTCTCCAGAGTCTAGAATTGCTACAAAGCTAAAACATTTAAAACTATATCTACCACTTCCTCCAAGTATATCAAACTTAACTTATTATATATACCTGTCTGTATATATATGTATATATTTATTTGTACATATATATTTTGTATAGATAAATGATATTATGGCAATGAAAACAATGGGCAACAAAATATCTAAGTCAATTCACAGTATAACATGATACATTCCCAAAAACAGTATATAGAGATAATATTTCTTTTTGTCCTCAAAAAAAAAAAAAAAAGCTACATGGGAATTATAAATCCATTCTGTACATGCAGTCACAGAATACTGTGTTAGCGCCTTCTGTCTCAGTAAGGGTCAATGACAGATCAAGTGTACTCATGATATTAATAACACTATATTAATTCAATCATTCTACATCCATCTCCTTGCCCCCCCGCCGTGCTTCCATGCCGGGTGTGGTAGACTTTCCGCTGACACACTCGTATTCCCGGCATTGGAAGAAATGCTGACCGAGGGGATTAAGCGGCTGTGTGTGATTCGGTTTACACAACACGCAATTCAATACCTGAGCTTGTTATTTCTTGACTAATGCGATGACATGTGGGACTTTAAAAATTGGAAAAGCCCTAAATTTCATTGCAAATTATGACAAACCTTCCCCAGGTGGTCTTGTTTAAACAAGCCATGAAAGGGAGACAAACATAACTTATTTCCACATGAACAGGTGTATTAAATAAAGGGCAAATTAATCTGCTGATCTGTGACAACATGTACAATCCCTATATGCCCCCCCATAATAAAAGTGTAACTGTCAATTCTTGTGATGTGTAACTGCATCCAGAATGCTACAAAATCTACCAAATATCTACTTTTTGCTAAATCATTTCAAAGCTACATTCAACTACAACATGGGCAAATAAGCGGTGCCTGACATCAAATAGGCATTCAGAAACTGAATCTCTGTATGACTGACATCAATTCTTTTGCCAAAATAAATGGTGTAGGATGCTTTTGGCTAAAAATCGATCAGTATTGTGTTTGTCCTTGACTCCTCATTATCATATGTTAATGTTTGCACTGACAAGAGTCAGCAACTTGTGCTTTATTACATGCAACTCTGCACTGGAAGTAGGCTTGACTTGAAAATGCACGATCAGTGACAATGATAGCCTCAGCTCTTCTAAACAATGCCCTTTACCATCCCAGAAACACTGTAAGCTGTCTGTTCCAGTTCTAAAGCATGATGATTAAGGAACAAAACAACCATTTATAATCGTTAACGTACGGTTTTTAATATTATGTAGCCATCTAGTGCCAATCATAAATATTGCAACCCATCATCGTTTGATGAAAGACATGTATTGCTTGTATGCAAAGAAAGGGCCATCTTATTGGGCAGTGCCGTGGATCTAGTTGTGACAATTGGAAAATTCTGCTATCAAAACAAATAAATAACTTAATAAATTGTCTTCGCAGCTATAATCCCACTATTTAACATCAGACACAGCTGGTTTACCCTTTTGTTAAAATACAACCACAGTGAGAGCAATAAATAGCATAAAACAAAAGGAAACCTGAAGGGAAAATATTGTACAGGAAAAATTGCTACATTTTTGTATTGTTTGTTCTTATTGTTTTTCTTTTGAAGTATGTCTCTTTAGAACAAAACGTAATCTCTATTCATCTCTATTTGATGTCAAAGTGACACCATGGCATTGGAGTTTTGATAGGACAACAAAAGTTCTGATGAGTGAAATGGCTCCATGTAAGTTCTGATTAGCTTGGAATCAGAAATACAGAAAGAGTGACATAGTTTACTCTTGTTTACTCTGAGGTCAAATTTCAATTAATACATTTCCAGCATGACCTTAAATTGGAAGCCAAAGGGTACTGATGCCATAACATCAATGTTGCAAGTGTCAAGAAAAAAGAAAGAAAGAAAAGAAAAGAAAAGAGAAGAGGGCATTTCTGTATCTATGTGCACCAGGTTGCCATGGAGACACTTTTTCAGTCAGTGGGATGATGCTGATCATCTGAGCCTCTCCAAGACTGCATTCAGATTGAATACAGATTAATTCTGAGTCATCTGTAAATAAATTGAATAGCCAGTTTGAGCCACAGCAGTATTTGATGTCTGTTGTCACATGTTGTATGTGGACGATGCAAAAATGTATTTTCCTTGTTTGAGGGAGTGTTTATGTGTAAACATGACATCATTACTTACAGAAAAATCCCAGACATTTGCTATCCACTGTTCTCATTGGAGGAGAGGAGCACAGAAGACATCATAATACTCAGCTCAGTCCGAAGATGGAGCATGGCTGGAGTATCCATTGTGACCGTGGCGGAATTTGTTGAGCCATTCCCTGCTTTGACTGTTGTTTCTTTGCTGCCCTGGTCACTGTCGTGGACATTTTTCTCATCTTGGTGCGACGCATGTATGTGCATCACACTCCAGCTGCGCTTCACAGTAGAGCTTACACACACGCGCAGCAACGAAGCCCCGTGTCATACCTCACTCTCTAGGCTGGAGAAATGGGCAGAACCACGGCGTGAGCACAAGCTCTTGGCTTTGAGTGGCAGGTGTGGGGAGTAGAATCGCCTTGGCTGGGGCACAGACCGAAGTCTCTGGTACTGAAGTTTAGCACTGGCGGTGGCTGCCTGGGAGGAGCCGGAAGCAGCCCCAGGAGAGAGCACAGGTGGAGGGGACATGGATGCAGAGGATGGAGGTGGAGGAATGGGCAGGGAGTTGGGAGCAGAAGGTACAGGTAATGAGGGCAAGAGTGGCTGAGGTGGGGAGGGGGATGGCTGGGGTATGTGTTCTGAGAGCTGGGATTGCTGGGAGTTTAGGTTGGACTGACTCCCGGATTTGGATTTGTCAGGTTTAGGGGGTGGTTTGCGCCGAGAGCTTCCACTGAAGCTGTGGCAGTGGGGAAGCAGATCGTCCTGGCTGTGAGATTGAGTGCTGCTGTGTTTGTGGTGTACGTGGGGCCTACCGTGCCCATACTGTGTACAAGTACATGATGCTGCGTCTTGCATTCTATCCCGAGACCTCTGACCTTTGCTCTTTGACCCACTGCGACTTCGCTTCTCACCCTTCATCTGTAGTTTGTCGACAGACCAATAGCGTCGCGGGGGTGGCAGGGAAGTGGGAGGGGGTGGCCACTGTGAAGCCAGCCCTCCACTGCCTCCTCCAGATCCCCATCCAATTCCTGGACCCGAACCCCAAAAATCACCTGCCATACGCCATCCTTCAGTCCGACCCAAAATAGTGTCATCTCTACTGTTGACACTTCCACCTTTCTCTCGAGCAGGGTATGTTCCAAAAAACCAGCCCCCACCCCCAATTCCACTAGCTCCACCCGCTCCAGTTCCTTCCCAGTATCTCTCAAAACAGCCAAACTCTCCTGAGGACCCCTCATCAGAAAAGCTTTCCTCTGCTCTTATTCTATCCCGCTCAGACTCTGATACTGCCCCTCTCCCTGCCTGACACACTCTCTCCTCTATTCTCTCCCTTTCTCGTTCTCTCTCTCTCTCCTCTTCTTTCTCCTCATCCTCAGAGTCCCACTCATGGAAGGACAGGCCTTCTCTTGGGTTAACTCGCCCCCTTTCATTGTGGAGAAGCAGTGGCCTGCGTTCTCCTACTCTCCCTTCTTCCTCTCTCTCTACCCCACTACTCCTCCGTCTCTTGGATGAGGAGAAGAGTGTATGTAAAGAGGAGGGAGGGGAGGGTCCGGAGGCCTCCGTGCCAACTGCTTCACCTCCACTGACCCAGAATTTAACTGAAGAGGGGAGTTTGTTGAGGTTGGGATAGCGTTTACTGGATGGCTGGTGTCGTGAATGGGAGCTTTTGGGTCTTCTCGGTCTACCTCTACCTCCCCCACTCTCATCCTCTCGTTCGTCCCTATCGTCCTCACCTCCATCTCTCCTCCCTCTTTCTCGCTCTCCCTCCCAAGCTGAAAGGCTGCCTTTGTCGACAAAAGTACTACGATATTGAGTGGAAAATGATGAGTACTCTCCTTCTCTATCCCCATCCCCATCTTCATCTCTCACTGCCTCAACATCACCCTCCTCTGGCTCCGACCGCTTGCCGGATGACACCTTCTTCTTCTTTTTGGTTTTCATTGCCTTCTTTTTCTTCTTTTTCACCTTGCGACGCTTCCTCTCTCTTTCTCTTTCTCTTTCACGCTCCTCCCTCTTTTTTCGTTTTTTGCTTTTCTTCTTCTTTTTCTTTTTCTCCTTTTCCATCTCTTTCCTACGTTTCTTCTCTCTTTTCCTTTCTGTATCTCCCTGGGCTCCACCATTTCTCTCCCTGTCCCTCTCTCTCTCTGCCCATCCTGCCCACCATTCCTGGAGCTGTGCTAGTTGATTGCCACCCCTTTCTCTCTCTCTGTCCTTCTTATGCTCCCTGTCTACAAAAGTGCCCCACGGTTTGCGCGGGGGTATAGGAGGGGGAGGTCCATGAGTGAGAGATCTAGGGGATAGTATGGACCGCTCTCGGTCCCTGGTTCTGTTGTTGCCCTGCAGAAGACTAGACTCTTCGGTCAGCTCATCCAAATCCTCCTCATCCTCTTCCTCAGCCTCTCTGTCTCGGGTGCTGCGAGATGAAGCTGTGGAAGTGGATGAAGGAGAGGTGGAGCGTGAGGATGTGGCTGAAGATGTGGTTGAGGAGCTGGTGGTGGATGAGGAGGATGATGTGGAGGTGTAGGGGAATGAGGGCGAGGGGGATGGAGGAGTGTAGCTTGGGGAAAGTGTGACTGGCACAGGGATGGGGAGAGGAGGAGAGGGTCTCAGTCTTCGACTCGCTTCCCTGCCTCCACCTCTCCGGCCTAGTGGCAGGATGTTCTCGTATAATGGGCCACCAGGTTCTTTGGGCTTTTTTGGTCGCCGTTTTCTCCAGAAGGATGAAGGGAGAGGGGGAGAGGGGTGCTGCAGTGGGGGGTTAGGTGTCAGTGAGGCTGGGGCCTGGCTTTTAGGAGGAAGCCTGGGAGTCCCCAGAGATTTAACCCCTCTACCCTGACCCCCTCCACCAGTACCCGCTCCCACCTTCTTCCCCATGCCATGGTCCATGCCCTTCTCCTGGTAGAAAGCCACACTAGTTGGTGGGGGTTGTTGGTGGGCTCTGGGGACTGATTTTGGAGTTTGAGAGCCAGTCTGTTGGTCCACACATGGCCCAAGTCCCTCTGGATCAATAGGTCCATAGTAGCGCTTATATCCATCTAGACCACTACCTGTGCCTCCACCACTTGCCCAGGTAGGTGCCCCCTTTTGGGGTAGGGGTCCTGTTTCTGCTAGGGCTCCTCTCACGCCCATGGAGGTTGTGGCATTAGCGGTTTTGGGCAGTCTCCAGCGGTCCACAACCGCCAATCTGCGATCTGGCCGGGGTAAGAAAGTAGTGCATGGTAGTGGAGCTCCTACAAGTTGAGTATTTGTGGGACCCAAGGCTGCTCCAGAATGAACAATTGTGGGAGGGGATCCAGGAAGAGGTGTTTTGTAAGACTGAGGAGGTTGAGGCTGTTGTGGTTGCAGCTGCTGCTGCTGTTGCTGCACCATGGCAATGGCTGGAGTGGATACAGCTGAAGTGACCACATGTGAGGAAGAAACAGGGACCATGGCAGTGTGATGGTGGCCAGGAACTGTGACTTTAGCCCCACCTTGTGCAGTTTCATCTTCAAAACTGCAGCAGCTATACATTCCCTAAGAGTACAAAAAATATGAAGATATAATAGTGAAATAAGTCATATTCTGATAATATGGGCAAATCAGTTTAAATTACATAAGCATCACTCTCATATCATCTGTAACACCACAGGCATAGTCCATGTCACAATCCTTCTCAATATACCCAAATGCTCGCATAAATATTTCTAGTGACTAATAATAATTCTCTCTCTCACCCTGCTGAAGGCGAGTAGGAAGTCCAGTTTGCCTGACTGGCCCATTTTGCTCATGCAGTGCCGCAACCTCCAGTATACCAGGTGTTCCCAGGCGAAGACAAGCAGACTTAGGCCCATGGCCACCAGCAGCATGTAGAACACACCAGCCATGTTGTCTATGTCTAGTTTGGAGCTCATCACCTCAATTTTATCATTATGACAGATCCCTGAGAGCCAGAGACGCTCTAGCATCTCAATCTCATCTAAGTGGAGAGGGGAGAGAAATACAATGCATTAACTCTACTTGCTTTCTCTGTTAATAAGTTATTCAACTACTTGGCACAGATGCATCAATAAAACATGTATGAATGCAAAATGGCAGTGACTTGCCTCTCCCACATGCTTGCTGTGGCAGAAAGCAGATGCTAATACTAAATGTGTGTAAATCTGTTGTAAACCTACAGTAAACCAGGTACTATTTGAGATATTAGGAGTATTATATTGAAAATATTTCAGGCCAGAGGTCAAATAAACAGGTCCCTGTGGGTAAAAGAAACATTACTGTGAAAGTCTGTTTAGAAGCTGATCAAAGAGGGCAGTCTGTGTTAATCCTGAAAGAGTGAAAGGAAGAGGAAGAGAGCAAGAGGCCTGTAGGCTAGCAAAGGCTAGGTCCTGCATAATGATCTACCCATATCCTCTTTTCCTCAGAGGGTAAATGAGAAGACAAAAAAGGAAGGATAGCAAAGTTCTTTGTCTTTTCATTGCTGTATTGTATCATGGGAAATTAGAGGATGTCGAGAAATAAGAAAAAGGCTGGTGGAGAAGAAGAAGAGAGTGACTTTGTCATTATGAATAAATTATCATTATTATTATTATATGTCATTATTATAAACAGCAGAAGCACCTCTTCTATTCAGAGAGAGGGAAGTTAACATAAAAAGAGGTATGAAGATAGATGGCAATGGGTGAAACGACAGTATATGTGCATTGTTTATGTTGTCTCAGTGTGTGTATGAGGTTGTGAAAGATGGAACAGAAAAAGGAAAATTAAATAAGATAGAAGGAGCAACAGAGTGACAGGCAGAGGGTGGAAAAACAAGAGGACAGACAGAACGGAGAAAGGGTGAGATCATAATCATTTAATTGTGCTGGAAGCTGGTCAGGCCTGCTGCAAACTCAAGAGAAAATCAGAATCTCACCTATCTACAAAAAGACAAGCTTGTGAATTACCCCAAACCTTACTAAACAAAGGCATGTACTGCAGCATTTACTGCTTTGATGAGGACTGGCCAACAGCACCACGTTATCTTAGCTTGGGCCATCTCAAAACAGAGCTGTGTAATATAATAAAAGCACATCATCACCCATCACACAGTAAATGACAGCTGCGTTGTTCTCACAAAGGTTGAATTATGGCATCTGTCTCTTGTGCTATCGAAACAAACTATCCAGCAAGTGTAACCTGCGGGAATTAATCACAGTGTAGATGAGATGCCGCAGACACATCACATAAAACATTTCACAAAAGAAAATTCAGTCAAGCAGGACGAAGAAGCGCAGGCTGAATTCCACATGGGACTTGAACAGATAACAGCATGAGCCCGGCTCAGATCCGAGCCCTGCCTCACTCTGTTGACCATTCACCTCCTTCTGACTCCTGCCAGTGGCTCTGGCAAACCACTTCACTGACCACAGCCAAACTCAGCAGGTGCATCATACTGGGAACATACACACACAGCTATATGCTAACACACAGACAGCATTCACACACACGCACAGCTTGACAAATACACATCCACACATACAGCAAAAATGTGCACACAGCACATTCTAACACATGTACACATAATTTCACACCTTTTCTCTTGCCATAACAGCTTATGTTTGGCAATGGAGCTCAGGGTTGGCACGGTTAAGTGGGCACATTTTAACAGTTAATGCGTTAGCAAGATCTTTAAGCTCAGGCAGACAGCCAGTCTGTGCTATCTGCATATGACCTCCAACACCGTTCCCTGTGCAGCCCCCTCTGATCCCACCCTGACCCAAACCAATATCACGCTAAAGCAAACACTGCTCTTGGATCAGCCTTAAAGGTCAACACTTTTATAAACAAATCGGAAGTGCCACGGCTTCTCTGACCACTGTAATAAGTCCTTGGAATTGTTAGTAGGTGAAAGAACTTCTATTCGAGATGACCGCTGCAAAAAAATCTGCTGGCCCTGAGATAAAATAACACAGACTTTTAGCAAGTAAGAAGTGCTTTTGTGTGGCACTGACCAATAAGGTTACCTGCAGCGTTTAAAATACACAAAAAGGCTACAGATGGACAAGTGGTTTCCTGTGGTTTTTAAAGGCTCTACAGAAACATAGAAGTAAAAATTGTTAAATGAAAAAAACTTCTCACACATTCAAGCTTTAGAGCCAATTGATTGGACTGAAATTGTATCAGTTAAGAATAGTATATTTTATGTTGAGTTGATATACCTTCAATAGAACCTTCCAGAATAAAAAAGTCACTGTTCATTGCACATGTAAATCTTCTCTGCTGTTAAGCGGTGGTGTTAGCTAATGGAACCTGGCACCAGTGTGACAATCTCACTGTGGGAACCTGGCGTACATACACATTCTTTCAGTCTCTCTCTCTTCTCTGACACACCAAAAGCCAAAGAGGATTTAAACAGCAATCAAATAAACCAACAAATTGAAACAAAACACTGTGATAGCTAGTGTGTATACGTGTTTGTGTATGTGTGTGTTGGGAGAAGGCAAGGAGGAGGGTGTATAAATGACAATTAAAGAATTAGTACTTGGACAAGCAAATTTGAATCAGATGAGTTCCACTCTGACACTGCAAATCCGTAACAGCTAATCCTCTACAGAGTGTGAAAATGGACAGTCACTCAATACACACATCTCACTTATAGCACACGATAGCTTGGTTCCAAAACCTAGTGAGCCGCTGCCTACACAGGCAACCACCTTCAAAGACAGTATCCTCACTGTCATGGAACATTCTAAGTGAACAGTTTGGAACTTGCAATGCTTTGTGTACACCGTACAAACTCCACAGGAGAAACAAATCCCTTCTCAATATACCCAAATGCTCGCATAAATATTTCTAGTGACTAATAATAATTCTCTCTCTCACCCTGCTGAAGGCGAGTAGGAAGTCCAGTTTGCCTGACTGGCCCATTTTGCTCATGCAGTGCCGCAACCTCCAGTATACCAGGTGTTCCCAGGCGAAGACAAGCAGACTTAGGCCCATGGCCACCAGCAGCATGTAGAACACACCAGCCATGTTGTCTATGTCTAGTTTGGAGCTCATCACCTCAATTTTATCATTATGACAGATCCCTGAGAGCCAGAGACGCTCTAGCATCTCAATCTCATCTAAGTGGAGAGGGGAGAGAAATACAATGCATTAACTCTACTTGCTTTCTCTGTTAATAAGTTATTCAACTACTTGGCACAGATGCATCAATAAAACATGTATGAATGCAAAATGGCAGTGACTTGCCTCTCCCACATGCTTGCTGTGGCAGAAAGCAGATGCTAATACTAAATGTGTGTAAATCTGTTGTAAACCTACAGTAAACCAGGTACTATTTGAGATATTAGGAGTATTATATTGAAAATATTTCAGGCCAGAGGTCAAATAAACAGGTCCCTGTGGGTAAAAGAAACATTACTGTGAAAGTCTGTTTAGAAGCTGATCAAAGAGGGCAGTCTGTGTTAATCCTGAAAGAGTGAAAGGAAGAGGAAGAGAGCAAGAGGCCTGTAGGCTAGCAAAGGCTAGGTCCTGCATAATGATCTACCCATATCCTCTTTTCCTCAGAGGGTAAATGAGAAGACAAAAAAGGAAGGATAGCAAAGTTCTTTGTCTTTTCATTGCTGTATTGTATCATGGGAAATTAGAGGATGTCGAGAAATAAGAAAAAGGCTGGTGGAGAAGAAGAAGAGAGTGACTTTGTCATTATGAATAAATTATCATTATTATTATTATATGTCATTATTATAAACAGCAGAAGCACCTCTTCTATTCAGAGAGAGGGAAGTTAACATAAAAAGAGGTATGAAGATAGATGGCAATGGGTGAAACGACAGTATATGTGCATTGTTTATGTTGTCTCAGTGTGTGTATGAGGTTGTGAAAGATGGAACAGAAAAAGGAAAATTAAATAAGATAGAAGGAGCAACAGAGTGACAGGCAGAGGGTGGAAAAACAAGAGGACAGACAGAACGGAGAAAGGGTGAGATCATAATCATTTAATTGTGCTGGAAGCTGGTCAGGCCTGCTGCAAACTCAAGAGAAAATCAGAATCTCACCTATCTACAAAAAGACAAGCTTGTGAATTACCCCAAACCTTACTAAACAAAGGCATGTACTGCAGCATTTACTGCTTTGATGAGGACTGGCCAACAGCACCACGTTATCTTAGCTTGGGCCATCTCAAAACAGAGCTGTGTAATATAATAAAAGCACATCATCACCCATCACACAGTAAATGACAGCTGCGTTGTTCTCACAAAGGTTGAATTATGGCATCTGTCTCTTGTGCTATCGAAACAAACTATCCAGCAAGTGTAACCTGCGGGAATTAATCACAGTGTAGATGAGATGCCGCAGACACATCACATAAAACATTTCACAAAAGAAAATTCAGTCAAGCAGGACGAAGAAGCGCAGGCTGAATTCCACATGGGACTTGAACAGATAACAGCATGAGCCCGGCTCAGATCCGAGCCCTGCCTCACTCTGTTGACCATTCACCTCCTTCTGACTCCTGCCAGTGGCTCTGGCAAACCACTTCACTGACCACAGCCAAACTCAGCAGGTGCATCATACTGGGAACATACACACACAGCTATATGCTAACACACAGACAGCATTCACACACACGCACAGCTTGACAAATACACATCCACACATACAGCAAAAATGTGCACACAGCACATTCTAACACATGTACACATAATTTCACACCTTTTCTCTTGCCATAACAGCTTATGTTTGGCAATGGAGCTCAGGGTTGGCACGGTTAAGTGGGCACATTTTAACAGTTAATGCGTTAGCAAGATCTTTAAGCTCAGGCAGACAGCCAGTCTGTGCTATCTGCATATGACCTCCAACACCGTTCCCTGTGCAGCCCCCTCTGATCCCACCCTGACCCAAACCAATATCACGCTAAAGCAAACACTGCTCTTGGATCAGCCTTAAAGGTCAACACTTTTATAAACAAATCGGAAGTGCCACGGCTTCTCTGACCACTGTAATAAGTCCTTGGAATTGTTAGTAGGTGAAAGAACTTCTATTCGAGATGACCGCTGCAAAAAAATCTGCTGGCCCTGAGATAAAATAACACAGACTTTTAGCAAGTAAGAAGTGCTTTTGTGTGGCACTGACCAATAAGGTTACCTGCAGCGTTTAAAATACACAAAAAGGCTACAGATGGACAAGTGGTTTCCTGTGGTTTTTAAAGGCTCTACAGAAACATAGAAGTAAAAATTGTTAAATGAAAAAAACTTCTCACACATTCAAGCTTTAGAGCCAATTGATTGGACTGAAATTGTATCAGTTAAGAATAGTATATTTTATGTTGAGTTGATATACCTTCAATAGAACCTTCCAGAATAAAAAAGTCACTGTTCATTGCACATGTAAATCTTCTCTGCTGTTAAGCGGTGGTGTTAGCTAATGGAACCTGGCACCAGTGTGACAATCTCACTGTGGGAACCTGGCGTACATACACATTCTTTCAGTCTCTCTCTCTTCTCTGACACACCAAAAGCCAAAGAGGATTTAAACAGCAATCAAATAAACCAACAAATTGAAACAAAACACTGTGATAGCTAGTGTGTATACGTGTTTGTGTATGTGTGTGTTGGGAGAAGGCAAGGAGGAGGGTGTATAAATGACAATTAAAGAATTAGTACTTGGACAAGCAAATTTGAATCAGATGAGTTCCACTCTGACACTGCAAATCCGTAACAGCTAATCCTCTACAGAGTGTGAAAATGGACAGTCACTCAATACACACATCTCACTTATAGCACACGATAGCTTGGTTCCAAAACCTAGTGAGCCGCTGCCTACACAGGCAACCACCTTCAAAGACAGTATCCTCACTGTCATGGAACATTCTAAGTGAACAGTTTGGAACTTGCAATGCTTTGTGTACACCGTACAAACTCCACAGGAGAAACAAATCACAATAGTTTGCTGTTAGCATGTTGCTAAGTTAATGACGTGATGCTCTAATAAACATAACAGTTCACAACACACGATAAAATTATAAATTTGAACTATTTTTTTTATACTTTTCAGCAATGAATTATGAAAAAGGAGATTTATTATCAACGTTTCTCTCAACTTGTGTGCCTTTTTACTTTGAGCTCGCAGTGCATTCTAAAATGTTCTTGATTATAAAGGTACATGTGGTGTTGCCTTGAACAACTTGCTTGGGCAAAATTCCTGATCAAGTAGATTCCTGTTGAAGTTATTAGATTTCTCTAACAATAATTAAATAAATAAACAGCACTGAGCACAGAGTTGACCACAGCTTGATGCCTTAAAATCTGGCCTCTTAGGCAGCTCAATAGGTTTTGGAACACAACAGTCTTTCTTTCTCTATTTCTCTCTCCCACACACCACTTCTGTCATTCCCAAGACTGAATCTTTGATACATGCCCATCTCTTTTATCCATCAGTAGGTTGCTATCATCTCCTTTAAATCAGTAAACAGCCTCCTAGCACAAAGACAAATGTCACCTGCTAGACAACGAAGATACATATTGCGTCATGTCAAGGAAACTGGATTACACCAAGATGGCTTGAAGCTAACAGTACAGGCTAATGAATGAAGTCTTGTTAAATATGCATAAAAAAGTCTTTAATCTCCCAAAGTCTTTTATCTTCTCCATCCCAACAGCATAAATGCACTAATATACATCCCCCTAATTTTAGCACTTTGATACTGCAGAACCTTCAGAATCTCACCGTCGCCCACCAGCTGCAGTAAGGCCAGGTCCAATGGCCGTTTCCAGCGGGAGTTCTTGATCAGGGCGATGCCGTAACCAGTTGTGGCGAACACTTTCCCTGAGCCGATGGTCATTACTTTACAGCCTTCATCTTTACGAGCCATGTAGTTTAATACAGCCGCATCATAGATTAAGGCATCCAGCTTACTGCAAACACAGACAGGAAGAGTAGGAGTCAGAAGAGACAGAGCGTGAGATGGAGTAGGGTGACAGACAGAAAGAGAGCAGAGAGGAAAGTTGTAGTGTGGCGGCATTATATTATCACTTTTGCTAAAAATGGATAAGGAAATGACAGGCTCAGGAAAACCACAGTGTGGATTAACAACTCGTGATAAATAGAGGAAGAGTGTGTGAGGTGTAAAGGGTTGAGAGAGGAAGTGTGGGAGGAGGAAAAAAAATTGCAAACACATCGTAAAGGAACTCCTGTTTGTGAGAGCAACATGGGGCTGGGAGGTGTAAGGAAGAGAGTGGAAGAGCAAAAGATGTTAGATAACATGTTGGAAACAAGGTTATTGTTGTTATGAAAACTGTTACAGAGACAGAAACTAAAAAAACACAAGTATATAAGGAATTAAAGCTAAACTGGAAATATAGATGCAAGCAGCTATTATCAGGGTTTAAGCAATGCTGGAACTTGTTCAAGTACTTAAAAAAAAAAAAAAAATTTATACATATAAAGCATTTTCAGATGGTCAGTTATTTCAGGACAATTAAAGATTAGAGACACAACCATTTTCATATTTATCACTCTTATAGCCCCATCTATTATCCGACCGTCATTTTTCACGTTTCGGAGTTGTAGACTTTTGAACAAAAGAAAATTAAATGTAGGATAGACATTTTGTTTGTCTTGACTCAAGGATTATATACTATATACTATATATATTATATAGTTTTAGTGGAAATTTTTTTTTATAAAAAAATAACTTTACAAGAACAGTACAGTTTCTATCACTTGATCCCTTAATTATAAATGTGCTCTACAACGCAAATGGAATTAAATCTAAATAGTCTCTTGCACTCTTGAAAAGGTAATCCAAAAATTCAAAATCTTCAAAAACTTCAAAAACTAACTCCAATGTTCTCAATAGTGAATCCAGACCATTTCAAAAGCCAGGGAGATTAGTGATTTCAAATGCTGAAAAACAAAGTAATCATTTTGAAAATTACAAACACATAGGAACTATCTATGCACCATTAAAAAAAAAAGCATAATACAAAACAAAACAAAATTCAAAACTGTTTGAGAATCACAACATAGGAAGTCAGTGAGAGTAAGAAACCCAGCACAGACCCAGTCTTGAGGTGGGAGATGGCATCCTCCACACTTTTCTGGTTGTATTTGATCATGTACTGGTGCATGTCTGGATAGTTACTGCGGATGTTTTTCTCTGTGCTTCCGTTAGGGACAGTTCCAAATTTCAGAGGGGGGTACTCTTCTGTGGGGTGCTGAAACTGAGAGAGGGGAACACAGTATGAAACAGTGATTGAAACTGATGTTGCATTTGTTTTTTCAATGTATTTAGAGAACTAACAATAGAGCAGAATTTAAAAAATATTGCAAGCTTCAACATGAATGACATGTGAGAGTGAATGTATGTTAGAAACAAGTCTAGAGCTGCTGCAGCTGTCAAATCCAAGTATAATACATCATAAACAGAACAATATACAAAGCAGCAGTGCTGGCATGCACATTGTGTTCATTCTGCTTTCAACAAAGGAGAACAATAGTAAAGCAGATGGGGGAAACTATTTGAATTTAAAAGGGATTACAAAATGAACATGGGGCACTTAGAAAAAAGAACCAACAAAAGCCACCGCAAGTTAAATGGCTTTAAGTATCCAGATTTGATGTAACTTCTTTTCTGACAATGACACAAACACAATGGAACACAAATACATTTCATTTGGTGTACATAAGTACATTAATTTGGCATGACAGCAAATGTCTGTGTTTCCTCAAGAATCTCTCCAGATTCCTCAAGGTCAACACTGAGAGCGGAGGGCAAAGGAAAAAACTAGTTCCATGATAGTATGCCAAATTACTGAACATTTCACACATGCACACATTTTAAATGCAACACAATAGCATTCAGCTCTTCAAAAGACAAATAGTGAGAACGTTTCTTCATGCTGTTCATCCACTTAGTAGACAATTTAAACTAATGTCAATCTCACATTTTTCCAATCCCACTCTAGTCTCTGTAGTCTTATGTTTTGAAGTAGTCAAGAATATTGATCCCGAAATCCATGTCAACATAACATCACAAATTATGAAAACGTTATACTGTATGCCGATCTACATGCACTGATAAACACAAGCTTTGTCTGCATCTACAGAAGCTCTGAAACCCTTATTCCTTTACCTTTTTATCGCTGAGGCCGGACACAGTGTCAATGTATTCCTCTTGGATCATGAAGGCAGCCAGGTTGGCAGTGTAACTAGCCAGGAAGATGACAGCAAAGAAAGCCCAGACAAGAACCATGATCTTGCTAGTGGTTCCTTTGGGGTTCTCCACTGGAACGGAGTTATTAAAGACCAGAGCCCAAAGAAGCCAGATTGACTTCCCTATTGTGAACTTAGAACCTCCAGCCTCTGACAGAGAAGAGCAAGTGAAAAGACACTTAAATTATTCAACAGCTCAAAACAAACTAAAAAAGTATCAAAACTGCTAAACTGACAAAAAATAGGCTTCTCCTATGCAGATGATGATGTGAGAAAAGGGTGCCGGTGCCAGAGGATGAAGAAGAGAACAGAGGAAGGAGAGGAATACAGAACACAAGTCTGCAGTCCTTTATTATACATGAGTGTCTGCAAAACTGCCTGCACCACAAATATCAAGCACTCGTCCAGGCCAATAAAGAACAAAGGTGAACTCAGCCATTAGGACTTCTGAATAAACTCAGTGACAAGCAACTGTGCACATTTATCTCCTTTAAAATATAACGCTTGAGACTACTAAAGTTTGACCTTATTAAAAGGTTATGTGCAGGACAAAGAGCAAACTGGACTCACTCTTGCCACTCTGAAGGCTACGGTTGTACCCCACTGGACTGAAGAACTCAAAGATGAAAACTGTCACTGCCACCACGGTCAGGCACATTACAAACATCATCACCCACACGGCAGGGCTGTACGGCTCTGAGAAGGCACAGAGAAAGAGAAGAGGACAGAGTGAAATCAAAACCATTAGTAATATTGTTTTTACTTGGTTTGTACACAACAGTGCAGAAATTAATACCAGGGGTGTAGCAACTGTTAGAACTGGAGGAGACCTTTGGAAAAGGCTAAATTATGTTGAATTAAATTTACTTTTTAACTTAACTAGGCATTTAAAACAGCATTATATTTGTGAAAAGAAAACATTTTTATCTGTTCATGCATTTTCTGGGAACTGAACTCATGATCTTGACCTTGCTATTGACATACAAAACAAAACAAAAAACATTTCCATATGGCAGGCACCTGTATTAAAAAACTTTAATTGCATTTTAAGGTATATATTTTTATCTGTTCATGCATCCTTGACACTGACAGTGCTATGCTCTTAAAAAAAAAATTAAAAAAAAATTTGACATTTGGCAAACACTTGTATTCAGAGTGACTTAAATTTAATTTCAAAGGAACAGTATATATTTTTATCTGGAAATTCGTCCCATGACCTTGACTTTGCTAGTGCTATGCTCTTAAAATAAAATTAAAATTAAAATAAGATAAAATAAAATGGACATTCGGCAGACACTTCAAGCGACTTTTACTATAGCAACTATAGTGATTTTAGTGACTTAAACTTCACTTCAGTGCACAGTATATATTTTTATCTGTACATGCAATCTCTGCGAATTGAACTCATTAATTTGACATCGCTAGCTCCATGCTCTAAAGTAAAATAAAATATCAATTAAAATAAAATAAATACAGCATTGAGTCTATTTGAAAAATGTTGATTTAGTGCTTCTCACTGAAGTGTGATGAATAGTTTGTTTTGAAAGGGAACTGTAAGTCTGATTGATGAGCTCTGAAATGATATGCACCAGTACCTGGAAAGTCATACATCATAATCACATGCAGCAGAGACTGATTAAAGTCAAATATGATGAAGCATTATGGCTCACATGAGACGCAAACTCACCAAGAAATGCAGAGGGAGACACAGTTCCATTACTGCGAGAGACCATGACGCTGATGCCAGTCTCCACAAAGGGCACAGAGAAGTCCACGACCTCTGACCTCTCCTCATTGATAGTGAGAGAGCCGATCGCCATGTCTGCACGCTTGTACACAACCTAGTGAACAGGAGGAAGTGGAAGATTGTATTTTTGCCCTTTTGCCACTTTTATTAGTAGTAGGACATTTTTATTTAGATGATTTATAGGGACTCTTTTTACAGGAGCATTACACCAAGTAAAATTCTGCTGTGCCCCAGTAAAGTTTTACTGATTAATCCTTGTTTGACAAGGGAAATTACCGTATACCGACCTGACAAACAGGCTAGACTAGCCAATGGATTTGATTGCATCCAAATTGTCACAGACTAGCTGAGGTGGACATTTCACTACCTTAGATCTTCTTGGGAACCTCAGATTTGCTCTGAGATCATGTGGCCACTTAGACTTGCAGAAGATTGAGAGACTAAAGGGTAGGTAGTGTGGGATTACAAATTTAAGAATCTGTTTAAAATATGCTGATACTATATTCTGACATAGCATCACATGAAAAACTAAGGTGAAGTACATTGTATTTAGCATTTAAGTTAAATTACATCAGACAAATGATTATCTTAAACAAAGTGTAGCAAGAGGTTCCTGTCTGTTCCGGTTTCTCTTATTGTTAGTCAAATTAACCAAATTACTGAGAAAGTCACCTTTTGTTTGTAATGGCTCTTGGTGCCTCTGCCCCAGTCTTTGAGTAGTTATGCTGATTAGATTAGCACCTCTGCATTTGAATGACACTGTTATGCTGATGAGATCAGGGCTGGAGAAATTCCGGTAACGGGCTGATTCCTGTATTGCATTTGCATGCTTTGTTTAGATTGTCGCCACCTCTACTGAATGAATCCCGCCCCCTTAAAATGTATATAAACTCTACTGTGCTGAGCTATAGTCAGACTTGGATGACTGCGGCACACAGCGAGTCCTCAATAAAGAGTGACTTCTGTATGAAAGATATCCCAACGTCTCCTGGTCTCTGCTTCGACGAGGAAAAAGTTTCCTACAGTAGCTAGCTACCAAGCTAAAATATGCTAATGTGTGAATGAGTAGCTACTGCAATACCTATATTTAATAGGATAGTGAAGAAGCAACAAGAAAATACAGAAAGAGAGAGAGGGACCAGGACTGGGACATGACTTGAACCCAGGCCCCCATGAGCGCAACAGTATTCCATATGTCTGGAGCAACTACCCTCTGTGCCACAGCTCTGACATGAAAAATGCATTATGGATCATGAAAGGCCACAAAGCAAGCTGCTGCGTTAAAAGTGCATGACCTACATTGTCGAAAGCATGGAACACTTTATATTAAACACTTTCAAAGATGGTTGAGCATATAGTTACATGTGGTCAAAGGGCTTATGCAATTTAATGGGCTTTTGAGGGTTTTGTTCTTATCAGTAAATTATATAAATTAAAAATGAATGCAAGTGAATATTAGTTGTTGGACATTAAATTTAGATGTAAATTAATGTAAAATTCATTAAATGTAATAAAAAATGTACATGTAAAACTAGTAACGATATTTCTACAAGAACTGTAACAGTTTTATAATATTTACAGATAAGAACAAAACCCTCAAAAGCACATTCAATGGCACAAGCACTTTGACCAAATGAAACTATATGCTCAACCATCTTTGAAGTGTTTAATATAAAATGCTGCATAATTTCAACAACTTAATTCTTTGAACTTTTAATGCATAAGCTTGATTTGTGGCCTTTCTTTATCTGTAAAGTAAATTTCATTATTATGTTATGTTCAGAGGAGAGAATGTGCATTACTGCAGAAGATTCTACCTATTATCAATTAACACTTGTTTTGTGTATGTTTATTATATATAATTTAGTTCCCTATCTGTTGGTCACTACGAGTTATGTCATGACGACATTAGGGGTCTAACTTGGGAGCCCAATCATCTCTGAGTTAAAAAGAAAACGCCAATGAAAATTGGATAGTGGATTTTACATGCAGGCGACAGCGTGCATCCACTCATTAGATTTTTGCTTCGGAGCCAAGTAGTACAGTATATGGTATCCACCTTACTACAAAGCCATTTCATCTTTGTGTGCGAGAGGCTGTTCCAGGTTGGTGTTACGGTGCGTAACAGCGGTGTCCCTGTCAGCAGCGATTCCCCTGGGCGCTTCAACTAAAAGAGCAGTTTCCTCTATAAGAGCAAATCACGGACGATTCGCGTCTTTTTCAAGATGCCGTTTTGTCCCTGTCCTTCTGGATACAGTTGTTTCCTGTCCTCTGTCGACAGCCATGATTGCTGTCTTCAGTGTCTGGGCTTTCAGCACGCTGAAGCGGCGCTCGTGGATGAGTCATGTGTCTATTGTGGGTGTATGACAAAGGCATCGCTGCGATGGCGTCTCTCTTAAGGGGAGTGGAGCAGACCCCTCTGTCACTACCCGTCCAGGTTTCTCTGCCACGAGCAGAGGACTGCTGGTTAGTGATCTGGGAGATCTGAGGGTTACAGTGAGAGTTTCTCCACCGGGCCACGCCCAATGGACCTCTCACTCCTCCCGCAGTGCAGGTCCTGTGCGGCTGCCGAGTCATTCGGTCCGCTGCCAGAGGATCAGATGTCAATCGAAGCATCGGGGATAGGTTATCGGCCTCTAAGGATGAAGATTCAGCGGGGCAGCCCCCCTCAGATGTTGTCGCCACTGCCGAATCGGACCCAGAGCTGTCAGCCATGCTTGCCCAGGCAGCCGTGAGCATCGGGCTGGAGGTGACTACACCGCCCAGCCCTGAGCGTTCGCGGCTAGATGATTGGTTTCTCTGCACAGAGCGCGTCTCACAACCACGTTCTGCTCCTGTTCCTTTCTTCCAGGAGGTGCAGGAAGAGGTGACGAAATTGTGGACGGCCCCTTTTATGGCCAGAAGCCGCTCGTCTCCCTTATCCGTCCTCACTACCCTCGATGGCGGGGCAGCCAGGGGGTACGTAGACATTCCCCAGAAGGTGAGAGCGGTTGCGGTGCACCTGTGCCCGCAAAACGCTGCCACTTGGAGGAATCGTCCGATCCTTCCTTATCACAGGGTGATGTTCCTACGGTTCCTACGGTTTGCTTCGAGGGTTGGGCATGGCAGTACAAGGTCATCCCCTTCGGGCGCTCCCTGTCCCCTCGTGTCTTCACGAAAGTCACGGAGGGCACCCTTGCCCCACTATGGGAAGTGGGCATCAGGATCCTCAACTATCTCAATGACTGGCTTATCATGGCCCGTTCATGAGAGGAGTTGTACGATCACAGGGACCTGGTGCTTTGGCACCTCAGTCAGTTGGGGCTTCAGGTCAACTGAGAGAAGCAAGCTTTCCCCTGTGCAGAGAATCTTTTATCTTGGTATGGAGTTAGACTCGGTGAGTATGACGACACGTCTTACCAACGAACGTGCCCAATCAGTGTTGAACTGCCTGAGTTCCTTCAGAGGCAGGGCAGTGGTACCACTGGAACATTTTCAGAGGCTCCTGGGGCATATGGCATCCACATCCGCAGCCACGCCGCTCGGATTGCTTCATATGAGACCACTTCAGCACTGGTTACACTCCCGAGTCCCGAGTTGGGCACTGGACGGCCAGTCCCTGGGGAAGCATGACCTGATCGTTCCTGAGGGGTGCAAGAAGGTTAAATCCTCCTAGGACACCCCTGATACACTCCTGGAATCTGTCTGTTGTGCTGGAAGGACTTCAGAGTGGTCCCTTAGAGCCGCTTGATTCAGTTGAGCTGAAGTTCCTGTCTCTTAAGACAGCGCTCCTAATCGCGCTCACTTCCATCAAGAGGGTCAGGGACCTCCAGGCATTTTCGGTAAGTGAAGAGCGCCTTGTGTTCAGGCCAGCCTACTCTCACGTTGTCCTGAGACCCCGGCCTGGATACGTGCCCAAGGTTCCCACCACTCCCTTCCGAGTTCAGGTGGTGAACCTGCAAGCGCTGCCCCCGGAAGGAGGCAGATTCAGCCTTGGCGTTGCTGTGTCCCGTAAGAGCATTATGCAAATACGTGGACCGCACCCAGAGATCCAGAAGCTCTGAGCAGCTCCTTGTCTGTTTTGGAGGTCAGCAGAAAGGGAAGGCTGTCTCCAAGCAGATGTCGGCCCACTGGATAGTGGATGCCATCGCCTTGGCGTACCAATCCCAAGGCGAGCCGTGCCCCCTGGAGGTGAGAGCTCACTCCACTCAGAGTGTTGCCTCCTCCTGGGCATTGGCACGACCCCTAACACCTTTGCAAGGTTTTACAACCTTCCTGTAGAGCCGGTTTCTTCCCGTGTTGGGTAACAGGTAATTGGCAGGAAGAACTGGCTCGGTCTTCCCTTGACAGACCCGCTCTGTCAGTCTCTTCTGGCAGTTGTTCCATCCCTACTCTAGGTAGGACCTGCCTCAGAGACCCATTCCATACGTAGTACTGCCCCCTGGGTCAGTCCATTTCAGTATCTCCACATGTCACCTCCATACAGGTAGAATGTAGGCTTGAAGGCTTGCTTCCCCATCATTCTGCCAGGCTGAAGAAACAAATAGGGAAGATTTGAAGCAATCTTTCACTGAAGGTTGAAAGCCCTTCCAAAAACTTTTTTGTGGTCGGAACAGCAGCATGGCCTTCTCCAGCTGCGATGTACTCACCGTTGGTCCCCTGCAGTACCAAGGTCAGTGAATTTGCGCTGGGGCTTTGGGAAGGTTACAATCTTAGCGTAGCTTTTGTCTTGACACGCTACAGCTTGTCAACATTTGCAGCGCCTCAGGGTTGTGACTGTGTTTAGGTTGTGGAGTTTTCCACAGACCCCTAATGTCGTCACAACATAACTCGTAGTGACTGACAGATAGGGAACGTCTCGGTTAGGGATGTAACGGCATGAAAATTTCTTATCACGATTATAGTGACCAAAATTATTACGGTTATCAGTATTAACACGGTATTGTTAAAATGTGCTGGAGATGTTCAAATAATACCGACACATAAATCACTTCACCAAGTTTTATATTTAAAAATCAAAAAACAACAAATAAAATGACTTTTTGTTTGCATAATCACTAAAACAATAACATTACAAATGATGTTCGGATTTTAAATGACAACTTGACTGACAAC